TTGCTGGCTCATGGAATCTGCTGCCATCAGCACCCCAGGTCCTTTCCAGCCGCTCATTCCCACGCCTGCAGTGTCCATGGGGTTGATGTGACCCAAGGGCAGGACCCGGCCCTTGGCCTTATTGAAGCTCATCCAGTTGGCCTCAGCCCATGGATTCAGCCCATCCAGGTCTTGCAGAGCCTTCCTACCCTCAGGCAGATTGACACTCCCTCCCAACTCAGTGTCATTTGCAAACTTGCTGAGGGAGCACTCAATCCCCTCATCCAGATCATTGATAAAGATGAGAAACAGGACTGGCCCCAAAACAGAGCCCTGGGGAACACCACTTGTGACTGGTCACAACTGGATTTAGCTCCATTCACCACAACTCCCTGTGCTCAGCCATCCAGCCAGTTTTTAACCCAGCAAAGCATCTGCCTGTCCAAGCCATGCCCAGCAGCTTCTCCAGGAGGATGCTGTGGGAGATGGTGTCAAAGGCCTCACTAAAGTCCAGGTAGACAACGTCCACAGCCTTCCCCTCGTCCACCAGGCAGGTCACTTTTAATGAAGGCTTGGCCAGTCTCCTGCATACGACTTGTCTTATTTTTAGTTGGCTGAACCCAGAATCTCTGTTTGGAGGTGACTGTCTATTTAGCTCTTTATTACTTTATAGCAAACCTGTCTCGGAACGGGCAGAGCCATGCGTTGGAGTGCTGCTCTGCTCATGTACTTGAAAGCACTGCTGGGTGTGCAACGATGGCTTTAGGAAGAATGTGTAATGAAGTCGTGTAACTAGGGTTTCATTGGGTAAAGTCACAAATTAATTCAGCTGTGAAGATTTTGACTGTGCCTTTTCTTCATTCAAAATGATCAGATTTGATATTGCAGTTGCGATCTGTGGAGATCCAGCTGTGAAGGGCTGTGGGAGGAACATTTGGGGGTTTTCTGTCAGTCCCTTTTTCCTCCCATCCTGGAAGTTTTTGCTCATCTGTGAGCATTTGAATTGTATGGTAAAATTAAAAAGAAAAAAACCAGCGACCAAACAAAACCACAAAACATAAAAAGGCCTGTTCTTCACAACATTTTATTGAAAACAGTACGGATATATATTTTTCTTTTCTTACAGATCCTGAACGCTGGACAAACATTCCTTTGTTAGTAAAAATCTTAAAATTAATAATAAATGAACTCTCTAATGCGATGGAAGCAAATGCATCTAGACAGACTACTGCAGATTGGAGCCAAGGTAAAATGCTGGGCCTGCTTTTCCTCTTTGCATGGCTTAAATCTACTTTGTAATCTCTTCAGAAACATTTATAGTATGGAGAAAGTCATGATAGTGAATAGTATGCCTGTAATTACAAAGGCTTAAATAGTAATCCAGGATACGAGAGGATAAGATCAGTCAGTGCTGTGTGTCTTCAACCTGAAAATTATTTTGGGCTAGTTTGGGAGATGGGATCTGGCCATATACCAAGAAAATGATCTTTCCTGGTGTAGCAGGTTTGTCTGTCTTCCTCCGTACTTCAGGCACCCATTTCTGCTGCTGCTTTTTGCTTCGCTCAGTTCCCAAGTTGCTGTTCCAAAGGGATGGTGGAGGTTGCAGATGTTTCCCTTTGATCACCTCCCATGAGCAGGGATGTTTGCCTGAAAACCTCTCCATGCCCTGTAGAGGGATCAGCAGACTGGACTGCTTGGAATTTGTTTATTTCTAGAAATTTCTGTTTTCTAAACAGATGATTCGAATGATATGTGGGAGGATCAGGAAGAGGATGAGGATGAAGATGAAGGCTTAGCAGGACAGTTCTTATCAGATATTCTTTCCACAAACAAGTACGGTAAGCAATAGCTTCAAAGAGAAAACAGAGTAGATGGTGTCCTAGTCAGAGTTATCTTTCCTTGACAGCAGGTGAGCGGAGACACAGGATAGGGAAAGGAAACACTGCACTGGGGTTTTGAGTAAGGACCAGGAGCACTGGCCCAGGTTGCCCAGAGAAGCTGTGGGTGCCCCCTCCCTGGCAGTGCCCAAGGCCAGGTTGGACGGGGCTTGGAGCAGCCTGGGCTGGTGGAGGTGTCCCTGCCCATGGGGGTTGGGCTGGGGGGACTGTGAGGTCCCTTCAACCCAAACCACGCTGTGATTCTATGACCTTTTTCTGTGATAGAGGGATGTGTCTCTTAATAACATCATGATGAATTAACTGCATTTTTCACCTGAGATTTCAAATGCTGTGCAGGCTTCACATCACTGTGAGGTTCATGCAGGTATTTCCTGCAGGGAATATCAATGCTCAAAGATGTAGACGTGACCTAGGAGTGACGGTGTCGTAGAAGTGGATGAGCTTGTGGAGTGACCTTGAAGAATGATTCCTGCATGAGGACTGTACAGGGGTGGATCATCTCCTTTCCTCTGCTCCTCTGTTTGCACATAGTCTGAGCAGGGAGCACCTTACAGGCAGATAAGGGAGGCTGCGTACATTACACAAACTGGCAGTGGGTCACCCTGACACGAGATCACAGCATAAGACAGCAGTGCCCATGCCCACGGACGCGTGTGTCTGGTGCCCAGTGTGCACTCATCTCACCTGCACATTCCTTCGGACTCCCACTGCGACCCTTCTTGTTCTGGATTAGCATTTTCTAATCGTGTGAACTTCAGGAACAAATATTCTGGATATGATCGATTTTTATTTTCTTCTAAACCCAGCAATACTGACGCTATTACTTTTTGGATCCTTGGGTTTCAGCAGTAGTCTAACAGAACACTTCCTGAGATATTTTGCTGTGTTTGATGTTAAAACCTGCTGATTTGCCTCTGACAGATGAGGATTACTATGAAGATGATGAAGAGGATGATCCAGACGCATTAAAGGACCCTCTTTACCAAATAGATCTCCAGGTGATGCTCTAAAAGGAGGTTTTTTAAAATCAGATTCCTATAATTCTTTATAAACTTACTTTTATTCCTCTGCTGTACTTTAACAAAACTGTCAGCCACTGGAAACGTGAGTTACTGATCGTTGTCCCATTGAAATGACTTTGAAAAGTGCTGAGTATTTAAAGAATGCCTGGAGCTGGTTTTCCTTATGGGATCAATATCTCTAACTTGGAAATGTGAATGAACAAAACCTTTGCACCAAGGGAGAGGAGACTCTGCTGCCCGTGAGCTTCCCAGCCGCTTGCTGAAGCCAGCAGCAGACTGGGGACTGAACGTGGCAGTCTCACACTCCACTCGCAGCCCCTGGCCCATCCTCTGCTCCTGCATTCACCACCTCCCCCTCCGCTGCCGCCCTTCCCTCCTCATCGCTTTGCTGTTCCCTGCAGTCCCCTTGTCTTACTCAGTGCATGTTGAGCTTTACCTTTGGATGCATGAAAGAAACAGCATTTCCAAGGTGTCGTGATGCTGACTGGGTTTTTTTGTCTTCCTTTCAGGCCTATCTCACTGATTTCCTGTGTCAGTTTGCGCAGCAGCCCTGCTATGCAATGTTTTCAGACCATCTCAATGAGAACGAGAAGCGAGTGTTACAGGCCATTGGAATATAAACCCACTCGACAAGACCATCCCGATCGTATCTGAACAATACCTTTTTTTGCTTATTCCACGTTTTATGATGAAACATAAAACATTTTCCAGTCTCTACCTGCGTGTTACAGGTGGGTGATGGCCTCACTGAGCCTCTTCTTAACACGAATCTGCGAAGGGAAGGAAAACTGAGAAAGCAGCAAGGACAGAAGTCAGGAGAGCTTTGCACGTTGGTCTCACCATGGGAGCACTTTCATTTTCCACAGTAACTTTCCAGGAAGTTCTTAAAGTTACAAAAAAAAGGTGTCCTTAATCTTTTTACAAGCGGGCTGTCTCTACCTGTGAAGAGGCACTTAACTGAGTTTCCCACAGCACAGCTGGACAGAGAAAGGAACCACCGGCTCACTTACAGATTGCTTGGATGCGTCTTGAGAAATGGGACGGTTGTTCCTCTTCACGCTCACACAACACACACAGGGTAAATATCTTGATGTGACAGCGTGACTTCTTTTTGTAGGACTATAGACTTTTCATCAGAGATGCCTGAGCGGTATGAACCTGTTGACAGGAGGTTGGATGGGAAGCTGAGACGATAACCCCGAATCCATATCTTCTTTCCTGTTGCGGATGGGGCTTTGTCGCTGCCATCCGCTGTCTGGCCCATGGGAGCAGTTCTTTACTAACGCTTTTGTGTGCACATTGCTCCGAGGAAGCTACCACTTCAGTCTCTGTTCCTGTGGCATGTGGCTGCTAAAGACTTGGGTTTTGTGGAACATAGGAAGCCACAGTTTTTAGGGGGGAAAAAAACCAACCCTGATTGTATTTAACGTATTTGCTCCATGACAGCCACTCTGAACTACTTTGCTTCCTTCACACTCCTGTGTGTATTTTTCCAGAGTGGTACAGTAACACTTGCAAACTGATTTACCCTTAAAAACAGCGTGATGTATCTCACAACACCTCTCTGCCTTTGGTTCCCCCTTGGGGAAAATGAAAATAAACCTATTAAAATGTACATTGGTATCCTTCTTATAAAACAGATTTAAAAGGAACTTGCATTTGTTTCCCGAGGTCACTTTTTAAAGACGTGTTTCTCCGTAGGAAACTTTCTGTCTGTGCTGCCCGGAGGATGTTAGGGTGTTTCACAGGAGCCGTCTGGACAGAAAGGGAGTCCTGTAATGGATACATCTTCTGCTTAAAGGAAAAGCCTGACCCATTATAGAGTTTCCTTTCTTAAGAAAGGTACTTGCTGTTCCTTTGTGGAATAATATGCTTCGAAGTTGTATCTCAAAACCTCCGAAGAGCTGGAATAATTCTGTATCTCACTGGTCTAACAGAGTACAGCTTTTCATTTTTTTACCAGGAGGGGATAATAAATTCACTTTTTAACAGACAAAGATGGCACAATTTGTTCAGCGTGTGTGGGGACGATGGTGAAATACCCTGAGTTAACGCAGACCTTGCTCCTCTCCCCCCCCAGCCCCTCGTGTGGTGCCTGAGAATGGGCACAACTGGGGGGGTCTGGATCTGCCCCATCCTTGAGTTCTCAGTGGTTTTGTATGAGGAGCTCTGTGAGAAGCAGATTTCCAAGCCCGATTTGTGTGTGTGTGTCTGATCAGGTAGGAGCTTGATCAGAAGGGTCCGTGCAGCTGTGTCACGGTATCTTCTCTGAGCATTTTCTGGTGCATAAGAATACATCATTACACTTGGTAC